TTACGATCTTTATTTTTGCTCTTGTCTTACTTTGCAACTTGATTTCTGCATTTGTCTTCTCGCATACATTTTATTGTTGCGTTTTATTTCCACTTTCTACGTTGCGCTTAATGTAGAAATTAGGAACTCCGGCACTTGTAGGTTGTTTCTGTGATACATTCGAGCATACACCAGTAACACCCGCGTGGATTGCCACTGTGAGTGCTTTTACTAATAATATAAAACGGCAACTCGTACGCCTGCTACCCGCTCTAAGGTTCGTGATAAATCAGTGTTATTGACCGGTGATTTTATTGATCATCCGCCATCGAGAAAACGACGGAAAGCATCATCGCTTCCACCTTTGAGATCACTGGCGTCCTCGAGCGACTCATCCGAGAATTCGAGTGATAACTCTCCTGAACAATCATCGACTAACACGATGACAAATCCGTTGATAAAACAAATACACTAATCCTTGATTTTGTTTACTTCCTTCCAGATTAATGTCTTCAAACCATATTCGACCGGCGGAAACAATTAGTAAACAGGCGAAGAATCGGAAAAAACGTGACAAGAAACATCTTCGAAATCAAACATTTCAAAATCAATATCTACCATTCGATGGAGCGAAGACAGCGATCATCCACCATATTAACAAAGAAAATTCCATTTCGTTGATCGATTCACTTATCGAGAAAGCGAATCGTACGTCACGCTACACCATTGACACCGAGGGACAACGAGGAACGAACGAACCGGCCCTCATTCAAATCGAGTTTGTCGATAAATTAACACCACGAACCGTTATTATCGTCGAATTTTTCCACTTACCACCACCATCGTCGATCTTATTCAACAAAATTCAAACCTTATTATCGACCATCTTCGATGACGGTAACGATTTTCTAGCATGGGGCAATGGTCGTCAAGAATTATCAGAATTCATTAATTACGGATTATTTCCATTGCCACCTAAAGACAATTTTGATGATATTCAACAACACTTTCGAACGTGGTATAATAAGATTCGAAGATCGCATACTGTCAACATCATTCGATATGAACGACGATCATAATGAATGTACATGTGATCATCGACCATATAAGGATCCATCACAAGTTTGGTCGTTACAGCGAGCCGTAGCCGTTGCATTAAATCGTTTTTTAGATAAATCATGTACAATCGGTGATTTTGGCTGCGGCCTCGATGATCGTTTATCATATCATCGACGTCAATATCGTCGCCAATTATCTGAATATGCGGCCAACGACTGTCTTGCTGTCACCCAGTTGTTTCAAATAATTTCCCAAAGAACGACAACCGTGACTACAAGTAATCATGTATCGGCATCTGTCATAGTGCCTTCTGCCTCTGCTTTACTTTTAGATTCAACATCACCTCATCCAACGTCAACATCACCTCATCCAACGTCAACGTCA